CGGACGGCGGTCTTATGACGGGTCGGTGCCTGAAAACACTGGTTTTAGTGTAGGCGGCAACAGTAATAACTAATGTTACTAGCAGCGGCAGTAGTAGCGACTGAGGACCCCCTGTAATTATGCTCAAAGGGAAGGGCGGCTTGGTGACAGCCAGCAAAAAATCCAGAAAACGTAAGAATTTGGCAAACAAGGACTTGCGAAGCCCTTTGCAAAATCACTTCTTAGAATTCACCAATTTTTCCGCTGTTTGGATGCCAGACCGGCGGTTCTGATACTATAGGACCTGGTAACGATAACTTCTACTCCCCTAAATTCCTAACGATGTAGGTGTGGAGGGCTTCAAGGGGGAAACCCGTTGGGAGCTGCGCGAAACATCAATGCCACCGACGGTGTGACCGTCCAAGGCCCTTGTCCTTAATGGTGGGAGTGGCACTACAAGGCGATATATGGGCTCGATAGAAAAACCCAAGGAGACATTCCTATCCAGAGATGTTTTGAGATGAACACAGGCAAGGACCGCCTCTGCGGCAACTTTGATTTCTTCCGCACCCAACTCTTGGACTAGAGTGGGACTCCTTTACAGTCCACTGGTCTAGCCCTTTTTCCGTTCCACCGTTTGGCATAACCGACCCAACCAACGACGCTCATTTGCCAGTCAGACTGCTTCACCATGCAGTGCAAACTTCGCTATCAACCATACTGGCCAAATTCATCGGAAGACCCAATCGTAAGCCCCTCGTTGTGCAGGCCCCTCCCGTTGGTAGGTTACAACCTCGTTATATCATTAATGCCAGCGGCGGGTAATTCGATAAACCGACCTTAAGTCGCCTATAAGTATGCTTTCCAGAAACAGTGCCCTGCCCTATTCTCACGACTACCTGGTTAAAATTTACATCATGTCGATCCTATGGGGCTTCTAATGAGGTTTGTGTTGATCTTGGTTCACTAATTTGTTAGCATGCTTTTATGTAAGACCACTTAAATAGGAAATAATATTGCCCGACGGAGATGCATTAAACAGTCTATGCTCGTTTGAAAGCACGATACGCGCCGAAAAGGGGCAAAAAACAGAGTAGTTTATTCTGTAAATCTAAAAATGACGCCAAAATAAAATAAATCACGGGGAAAAATGAGATAATGACTGAGGCAACGATGTTGGATGATGGGTTAGATAACAAAGCATGAAGTAAGTCTTTGACCAAACCTCTCCAATAAATCCGGCTTATTAAGTACTTGGACACAGGAGGGGTGTAGGTTTGTTGCGTCTGAAGTCTAATCTACACGACGCACAGTAAATGAAGGGGTCAGTGCACATATATACAATCGATTAGTAGGGGACACGCACATACGAGGGTAGTCAGGCCTGACGCGTGACTGTACAACGGTATACAGGTGAGGGAGGGGTGTTATAGGTGCGGTTCTACTAACTGAGCCTGATTCTCGAGTTCGTTTTCCACTTCCCGCTCTCTCATGGGTGCTGCCTCGCACTCGGGGTTCGAGCCTGTCGCCCCACGGACCGGGTCACGAAGCGACTGCAACTGTTGGTGGTTATGCTGGGGGAGCGGCCCCTCGGCCTGGCCATCGAGCGGTGGGAAAACAGCGCTGGTACCACTGCTCGGATCGTCGCCCTCCTCACCCTCACCGTCGGAACGGGCGTCCGGATGCGTTACGTCAACTGAGGGCTGAGGCGAAGTCATCGGCAGGAGGCGAAGGCGGGGGTCACACAGGCCACTGCAACCGTCAACAGTCACTGACTCATCCTCAGATGTCCGAGGGTCACAGCGGGGACAGGCGTCAGGAGCGCTGGCAACACTGTCGGCGTCCGCATCAGCGGTGTTTACGACTTCAGAGGGTGGGACAGGGGAAAAGGTTTGGGGCGGGGATGGAGAGTATCGGGCTCCTACGGTGACCGATCGCTTTTCCAGTGTATCCTCAGCGGTACTGGTGGCTACTGGGTGGCTGTTGGAGGGTCGACGAGAGGGTTGAGTCCAGGGCCCGCTGCCGGCGAGGTTACTGATTGAGATTGAGTGCAAAAGAGGGTTCTGAAGGACACGGAAAACGGTAAAATGAGAGAATTAGCATCCATATAGACACTTTACAGTCAATAAGCCTTTTGTGTCATCGAGAACGGAACTTTTTAGACAAAAGGCTTCTTCTAATGCATGTAAACCAAGAATGGACTCCGCACCGTTCCACATACGGTCTCAGGTGGATTGTCCAGGTACTGACTTAAGCAGAGAAATCTTGACCCTCTACTTCAACGTCACCTCCTCTCGATCCTGAAATTGACTTGCGTAGTCAGCATATCAACCATTTTAAACCGAGTCAAACTCCGAGTAAGTGGCTACGACACGCGACTGCCTGATTGGCACCTTCCGAAGCAACTCGTCTATGCTGACGTCATTAGAAGGGCACGAGCAACAGTACAAGGACATTCACTCACATGCCCTGTGGTCAATGTGGAGACTTTAAGAAAACACTCGCAGAGAGTCGATAGAGGGGGTGAGCTATTGTGAAAAACAGAAATGGAATTTTCGAAGTCAATCCTATCTATAGCGGACGCCAGGGAGCGATGACAAGAACGCAAGACCAATGTACCGAGAAACAATGTTGCCAACGGCTGACCCTTTTCATGTGTTTCTGCAGAGGACGCACTTTCAGGGTCCGCACTGGTCCTGCCAGCCAGCCAGCCAGCTAGCTTTACACCCGCCACCATAGCCACAATGTCAACGTGCGTCGTGTAACACAGCCACCATCGCAGCCAAACACTCGGTACTTTGAATTCACGTCTCGACTCTGATTCGTCCTGGTAGAGCTGCTTCTTGCCCACCGCAACACAACCAAAACTACGGGTCAAACCATGAATGAACGCCACTACACCTGAAAACACTTGAGCTTCAGAAGCTACGCAACTTCACAGAATTCAACACAACGCACCCACTAGGCTAATTTGCTCATCTCAGCGAGTCTTAAGACCCTAATAACGGGTGCAAACGACGGAACGATGGAGTCTGAACCTCGTCTAAAAGAGGAACCAAATTTTCCTGTCACCTGGCAGCCCTTTAAGCTACAATTATCAGCACGTAGCGTTAGGTCCAAAGCGTTTGATTGTGCAGTCAGAAAGCGGGCAACGGGATCGACTTCACCTTCTCCGATACGCCACTGGCCCGTCTTGTGCAGTGCCCAGTGTGATGGGAGGCCTGCGTCTAACGTGTGTCTGATGACAATAGGTAAAGACCCGCACAGCCTGACTAATTCATGCAATGGGACAATGTGCGCGCTATTATGGTCTGGCGAAACAACGGTACCGCTCGTTTGGGGGTGGGGAGGGGGTATGCTCCAGACACACTACAGCATTGACGGTCGGAGCACCTCGTTTACCAGTATGGTACAAACAACAACTGATGAAAACGGTTATCATCGCGAACGCCTGCTATGACTCAAGCATTTAAACCCGGAATTGCCCTTTAGCAACCATCCAGACAGTGTGTGGTATGAGAAAAGTGGAAATGGCATCATTTGAATGGGGCGAGAAACATTGCGGAATTCAGTAGTGGAAAGGCTCACGAAAGCGCACAAGTCGTGCTTTCGTGCCTTCCTTGTTTAAGTTTACTAGTGGCGTGGGAAGAAGTTGATGAAGACATAAGAACTGCACTAATAAGATCGCTGTCGGCACTTTAAGTCCACAGCTACGGACCTATTTGATACACTCTGTTCAGGCAACTGATCATTTTAACTTCCTAGCCAGTCCCAAAAGCAGGGTGCTTGAATAGTCCGACCGCCATTCGATGCATATTCAATGACAGCATCGGATATCTCCTCAATGGAATTTTTTGCGAATATCTACGAAGATATGCCTTGTATGTGTGCTACGTCTTACGGATAGTTGGCTACTTGCATAGAGCAGGTAATAGTTCACGTGATGTGACCATGAAGCAGCAACGTAAGACGGGCTGTACGAAATGGTCACCGCCGCCGCAGTCGTCAAACAGGCAACAGGACCCGGCATCAGACAAAGGGTACCTACGAGGCTTGCGTTTATACTTCACTGATATGGCCTGAATTAACAAGAACGGTCTGCTGACACTAAAACGTGGGTAACCGCCAAGGAATTGTTGACTATTGCTGCCTAAAGTACACTAATCGTTCTAAACTGAACGGCCGCACAACGCACGGATAGGACACTGGTATGATTATGAGTACGAAGAACGGGGTGTTCGGTGGAATGAGTGTCCGATGAGACGTATAGCACAAGATGTCAGCCTACTGTATAGTGTGTCCCTATACAAAAAAGTAAACAGATGGGGAGTGGACGTGTTTGGAAGTACTAAAATCGGTATGTGGGATGGCGTAAGTCATGAATGTTACAAGTGCCTCGACTCCTCAATTCCAACAGCCGGACGCTTCCAACATGTCCACGCTTCCAACTCAAATTGCACGCGCGAATCGGACTCGTAAGACACCCTCAGAAACTATGCACAGACAACCCGGCAACGTCAACTTCTCCCATGAACGCCCCTAATATCACTCCTGCCGCAAGCCCCGCGACGAAGACCACTCCCGTCACCGGTGATCAGACTGCCGATGCCCTGCTGCCACCGACAATCGGCATCACCCGCCATGTCCCAACCCCTACGTCGATCACAGCGGCCAGCTCCGCCAACAATACGACTTCTCGCGCTCCCCCACCGATGGCACGACGTCCAGCGCCTCATCATCTACTACCATCAACACCTCCACCTCCAACGATGTGGACGCGGTCATTGCGATTGCACATTCGCCTCGCACACAGGCCTGATCGGTCACTTGCGAATCCATTGCACAGAAACTGGAGGAGCAGTGCCTGGAGCACCAACATACACTAGACGCACTCGACTCAACTGCCCGCATTGCCCCCGCCCATTCAGCCACCGTATTGGCCTACTAGGCCATATGCGCATTCATAAAAACCTGCGGTAGATCACCGCCGGTCATACCACACTGTCACGTCTCTCCTCACGAGTATCTGCAAGGTACAACAAGATCGCCCAGAAGCACACAACGCAAGGACACAATTGGCACCTCTCATGCAAGAGGGGAGTGTGCTTTTCGGCCCCTTCTCCGTGTGGCTTCTCTGCTGCATCTGTTATCCGTGCCCGAGACTGTCATGATACACCAAGCGCCGTGGCTTGGAAGGTTGCCGACTGACGTCCCAACTCAGTCCAGTTGTGTGTTTGTGTGGAGTGGCGGACTGATAAGCCGGGAGTCAGGCTGCCACGGCTCCTTCTTAACGTGACCTCTGGCACTCTCAAGCATGTGAGGAGTACGTGCATGTTCTGTGGGTGGTGCTTCTCAGTCGAGGACTGACTAGTTACCCGGCCTTTGAGGAGCGATGATCTAGACTAAATGCAGGGCTGCGTCTCACTCTCCTGGGCTTTAAGGGTTGTGTGCGTCTACTATGCCATGATTCAGCAAACCGTGGCCCTCACAGCCTGGTGTGCGCTGGCAACTCTCTGGCACCTGATCCCCCGCCGGTAGGTGCGTTTGCGCTCCCGCTGGGTATGGAGGCCGCGTGCCTGGTTGACCAGTGACTTGCCTAATCCTCTCCTCTTTCTGACCAATTTTCGTTGTTGGTCAAAATCCTGATCATGTTTTCGTTGTGGACCAGGGGGTGTGATAGTATGCCTGGACGCGGGTCAAGCCGTGCCAGCCAACTGCGCCCTCTCTCGCTTTCCGTCTTGGCTGTCTTGATACCGGGCCCAGAACGGGGGGGGGTGGGGGAGGAGAGATTACAGTAGATGCTCCGCAAATCCACTCCCACTATAAACTAATTCACGCGCAAGTCACCTGTTTGTTCTCACCTAGCTGTGGAGCACAGGGTGGACATCGTTGGACGCGACGACCCACCAAGTGTGCCGATCGAAAACCGTTTGGTCGTTGGATATCAGACGTAAAATTCAATTGTACTAGCCTACCGAATCAGGATAAGTAGTAATGATACACGCACACACTACAGCGGTAGTTCCAAGTCAGTCGCCCATGTCTACCGCGTAGTTGCTTGCCAGGGTTGTTTTCCGATTTTTTTAATCCCAAGCCCAAAGCCATACAAGTCGTTTTGCTTAACCGTTTTCAGTTTGAGGGTTGAAGGATCATGGAAATCCCCTAAATGGGAAGTGGGCAGTTTGGTGGAAGCAAGTGTCACCTCGACAGAGATGGCTCTAGAACACTGTTATCTAAAACAGACACAGGTAGATTTTTCAGGAACAAAGAACGTAAAGCCTTCGGACAAGACAAACATTGCTCGTCAGGTAATACAGACTGACATAGGTTTCTGACGGAGACGCGAAATATAGTGAACTATGTTAGTGAAATCACTCAACGCACGTTCATCTACCTTACCTGAACCGATAGCAGGGCCGGCCGTGGCTGATGCATCGTCCCAGGTACCGTAGGCATGACTGAGAGGGCGGCATGTGGGCCGATCGAGACCTCTGGCGGGTTGATTTGAGCATCCCCGAAAGAGGGTGATGGCAACGGTGAGGACGTACCAGCGTCCAGGGAGCCGCGGGCTACACGTGAAGTTTGCGGTAATTCAACATTCAGGTTGTTGTCTGACGCGACGTCACCCCTTAGAAGATGTTCTCTCGCAAACTGACAGGGAGTCGGCACTATCGGTGGCTCTTCGTTCGCTTCTCCGGCCTCCTCGAGACGAAGGTAAGCCAGACGTGAGGCCTCATTTCCAGGACAGAAAGAGAAGGCAGCCGTGTGTTCGGAGTAAGCTTCTGCATTGCCTACTCCTCTGAGTGTGCCCCTGAGGTCAGCATCTCCTTCTTCCTCCTCCTCGTAGTCAACCACAGCTTCTTCTTCTTCCTCCTCTTCCTCTTCACAATCATCTTCGTCTTCCTCCACCTCACAGCCTACATCTACTCCTTCTTCATCTAGAAAAAGGCCAGTGGCGGAAATACCAGAGGTAAGGGCCTGATCGAGATACGACTCGCTGTACTCCCGGGGCAAGTTAATGAGATCTTGATTCGCCAGACAAGAGTGTCGCTCGTTTTGCACCTCCTCTTCGGCATCGCCATCAAGCAAAAAGTCGGCGGTTTCGGCGAGATTAAGGGTGGGGCCGTAGGAGGGCGTGAGGAAAACATTGGCAGGCGAGTAGATGTAGGCAGAGAGGGTCTGGTTGAGCTGCTCGGAGGGAGAATAGGGAATGGCAGGTATTGAAACAGTTGTGACGGAGGATCCATCAAGGTCACCGTAGCTCAGAGCAGTGTGTGGGACAGTGGCCGTGGGGACAACATTGTCAGCCGATACAACGCTAACAAAGTCAGAGTCCTGGCCAACAGCATCAGAACTAGTGCGCAGGGGGTCTTGAATGTCCAGGGCAATGTACTCCGGTGCACTGTTGGTGGAGTGTCGAGAGAGGCGTTGATTTGCCGTCTCTAGAGGAGTGCGTGTGGGGAGCGCTCGGGCAGAGAATCCTCGAAAAGCGCCAAGTGAGTAACTGCCAAAAGGTAGGAAGGTTTACACAGTGCAAAGCAAATACAAGGGAATAAACTATTCTTCCGGAAAACTAACTGGTGAATTGCAGTGGAAAGGGCTGTTGGAAATAAAGCAGACCCGGCTTGTCTAAAAGGCTAGTAATTCTTAAATCAATGTCAACAATACGGTTTATAACAAAAAATGACTTCGATATAGTAGGAGGGAGAAAACAAGAAAATGAACAGTTAAGCCTCCGCAGTAAGCAACAAAAATGGTATCGAAACGACCATTTATCGACCCGAGGCTGACGACTGCAAATAAACCAAAAATGGCAATTCGCGCCCCCTGCCTTTCCTCGAAATATTTCCCGATGAGATAACACATATGGCATGTAGCTTGAAAATCCCAGTAAGGATAAAACGCGGGTTACTTCAAAATATGCATGAAGTAGTCGACTTAGAATAAAAATGCCATGGTGGAGGGGCGCTCACCAATCGTTCTAACGGAACTCACTCGCTCCGTTGTGCCTTATGGGCTCTCTTTCTCGAGTCCAACCAGCAGCCGCACAGCGGCGCATGACGACGGCTACTAAGCCAGAAATGGCCACTCCAGTCTCACTTGTCTTTGTCAGTAATAACACTCCACCAACAAAAATACTCCCCACAAGTGCCTAGTATGAGATAACATTTTTCGAAAGCAAGATGTAAATCATGCAAGCCTTTGAAATACACAAAAATGAAAACAACTCAATTAACGCCTTTTTACTTATGCGATGTCCTGTGTTAATCAGTATCGTGACCTCAGTTTAAAGAAGAAAAGAATGATGATCAACGTTTCACGAGTTTCGGTGAACATTGCGCTTCTAAACCAAAGTAGTAAAAGTTGACGAAAACTTTGCCCCACGAGAATGACAGCATTACTGCTTATTTTTTTCGGCTCACTTGTCCTAGAGTACCGTTTCGAATTTGCGTTAAACCTACAGTCAGTGGCTGATCTCATGAAATTTTAATCGGAATTCTGAAATACGTCTCCGTTTAGGATGAAGGGGGTGGTAATGTTGGTTGTTTTGTGGCATAACCCCCCTAATATTTCAGGAACGTTAGGATTTTAGATTTTGAACGTACTTTTTCTCGGCCGTCCACGAAATCCGTACTCGGTAAAAAGTTGCAACTTAAGTAGTATGCATTTTCTATATTTGTTTTCGATGTCCTTATAATTTCAAAAATATTTTGCGCGAAGCATGCATGAAAATACGCTTTTTCGTACTCACTTGATAGCAAATGATGTT